GTTAACAGAACTGATCGATCAACAGAATCGAACGCACCCTTGAAGTCAAGGAATACCAGAATTGTGGGTCGTCTGTACATGTCGCGTTGCTCTAACACCTGACGGAGTGTGAAGATGTGGTCAACGCAGCCTCTACCCGGTCGAAATCCCGCTTGATTCTCACGAGTCAAGACTTCGCGTGCCGCCATGAGACGACGAAGAATCAATGGCGCCAGAAGCCTTGTCACAACAGGCGTCAAGCTAACGCCTCTGTGGTTGCTACATTCACTGCGGGTACCCTTTTTGAAAAGGGGTATCACTATCGATTCACCCCAGTTGTCTGGGACGGTCTCCTTCTCCCAGATAAACCCAAATAGGCTAGACAGGCATTGACTGAGGAATCCACCGCCATCCTTGAAGAGAGCAGGTGGAAGGTCGTCAGGACCAGCTGCGCGATGGCGCTTGAGTAGAGAAATGCATTCGGACACTTCTGAGACTGAAGGCGGCTCTATATTTACGGTCCACCTTTCTGTTGAAGGCCGGGTTTCTGGATTGGGGTTAGCAGGTGGCCAGCTGAATTGTTGTTCGAAGTACTGTGCCCAGCGATCCAAATGTTCTGCTTTGCTGCATATCAGGGAGCCATTTTGGTCCCTGATTGTTTCACTGACAAGAGGTTTCCGAGGACCAGTCGAACGAATCAACTGGAACAATTTGCGCACGTTTCCAGCATTCTTTGCATCTTCCATTTCTTCGACCTTTCGGGTCCACCAAGCTTCTCGGTCTGCGCGGACACTCAGTTTCACCTGGCGTCGGGTGATGTGCCGGATGGAGTTGTGGTGGCGAACAGGTGGGATTTATGCACCAATTTACCAGCTCGCGCGTGCAATGCGCAGCTACCTATCCCTTCCCCCAAATCATCGGTGAACGAAACTGCGGCAGCTACAACCAGTGTACGACGAGTCCGCGGTTCTTACAGCTGACGATGATGATGATGATATAAGTTTATTGAAGGTATATGCAGACAATTATGAACATACCATCGACCCTTTTTATTAGCGTTTTGGTGTGAACGCCCATTTTCGCATTTGTACACCATGACCACATAGCAGACCGACGGTGGTATTACTGCACCCACATTCTCTTCATATTTTACCGCCGATGAACTGTGCCAGCGAAATTGTTTCGAGCGGCTGTCTTCCGGACACCTCGGTCTCATTTCTTGCAATTTATGTTTTTCGCCAGCGGCGTGATTTTGGCATGAAATGAGGAACAGGGTTTCGGTACTGTATGTTCCTTTTTGGAAACTGCCTGCCTGTCCCTTGGAGGTGTCGTTAGATAGGAACTCGAAATATCACGTCTTCCAGCACTTAATGAACAGTGTCTATTTAATTCGGTCACATTGCGTGCACTGTCTGTATCCAGTGCTCCATGTGTCAGGTCTGTTGTCTGATTATAAGTTGGTCCTTCCGAAGAGGGCTTCGTGGGAAAGGCTTGTGGCCTCCCCTTTATCGTAATCTCTGTACTATTTTTGCACTAGATAATGGCTGTTTTCGATGCTATACGTGCCACTGTTTATTTATATGCTTCTGCCCTAACGGACTGTAACTGTAAGCCTCCCAGAGGCAGCTTCTACTGCGCTCCAGGTGTTTTTTACAATGGACTAAGAGCTCAGACATCTTTATGATCAGTGGTGATATGAACGCTTAGGTAGGTGAGGTAAGCACTGCTGAGTCTCATTTGATGGTAATTTTGGGTTAGATCAAACTGCACGAACATGTATTCTGATCACAGGTTTGTCATTCGCAGTACCAGTTTCCGAAATGACGTAATCGCCTGGCGACCTGACGCTTGCCAACGAACTAGCACCTAAAATTAGGTAGACCACCTTGTCATTGGTTGCCGGAAATAAGGATAAGCCATCACTTCTCGCTTTTTTGTCATCATAACTACCGCATAAGTTACACTTTGCAGCGTCTCAACCCATGCACATGTGGCTCAAGCGGGTCCTATCTTGTAAGGCGAGTCCCACCGACAGTACACGGACATCTAACCACTTTTATGCCTCATATTGTATTTCTGCTTGCGCCACTGGTTTTGCCACAGAATACTACCATCTTTTCGGCAAACAATGATTAGATATTCGCCATGCATGAGCAAACCAGTGCAGCTTTTGGTTCAGGAAACATTCTTCGGTTGAAAACCCTGTTGCACAACCGAACATTCATTTTCTTATTGTTTGGATGTGCATTCGTCGCACCGGCCCACATGATCTACAGTTGTCAAAGGCCTTAGTGGACTCTTGCCATGCAATTTGTTATTGCCTTTCACTGCGATCATCAGACCTGTGCAGAACCTTGCTTAGCTTCTGAGCAGCCCTCGTATTCAAGCCATACAAACCCATCAGAACCAACCCTTCCCATTCCTGCCTGCCGGTCCGATTTCGGATGTTGACGCTCACTGGAGGCAGATATCGATAACTGTGCATAATGCCGAGACTCCTATGTGCGATACCATTCAGCTAACATTTTCCAGTCATTGGATCTCTGGTAGGACCTTAGTTATGCTGGTTGCCAGGCGACAAATTCAGTTCGGTTCAGTTTATCGTGTATAGACCACGTACCAAGGATATGTTGGTTCCAACTTGCAGTTTCTATTGCCTGAAAATGTGAGATATCCAGGCATGGGAGGCGATGGTGCGATCAGTTATTTTGTGTTGTATGTTGCTCCAACGGAACTGGAAACTGATCAGCTACAGATTGAAGGTGGTAACTTTGACACAAGAGAGGCACGACTGCCTGACTGGGGTATTTCGTACAGTGTCAGTAACCATTAGTGAGTTTATTCTCGGATTCTGTATCCCTGGAAACGAAAGTTATCAACTTGACTGAGTTTGGTGGTTAGTGTTTTCATATTTCGTCACAAGGTCCAACTATCGACGGCTTTCATCCACCACAGGGTTGTGTGAGACAGACAGTTCTCTAAAATTCAAAGTAGATACCCCAACACGCGTAACCTGTGAAGTCTGGTAACCCGTCCATCGCGAGTTCCTTTCCAAAACCTTGACATCGTTAATTCGTCGTTCCCACCAGATCCGCGCATTGCTTATAAGACACCTATGGTCAAAGACTGGCAGATTTCATACATCGTCTGCGTGTAGTCGCCACGTTTCTAATAAGACAGCATGTACCACAATATCGCAGTGTATACTCTACTCCTAATAAAAGGACTACCTTCACGCCGATACCGTAGGTATCAGAGGTTGGCAAAGGCCATCCTGGTCTTTTCATTTCGAGAACTGATCTCTAGCCAGTCTACCGGAACTTACACAACTACCCAAGTTTGTCCGCCGTATCGATTTGTTGGTTCGCAAGCATTAAGTTAGAGTTTGCTTACACCCGGTCATGTGGCGAAATTTTGCATGTGTGAAGCGCATACCAGACGACTGTGCAGAATTATTTAGGTTATTTCAAATGGTTTAAATCTTTGGGGGATTTGGAACAAGTAGTACACTACCCATGAGCGAACGCCCTGGGAACATTTAGACCCCCGAGATTTTGGAGGTAGCTAGAGCGATTTCAAGCAATAAATCGGTAACGGATTTGGACATGAATGGTTAGAGGGATCAGCCTTCTCTCAAACAGGGGGATTAGGTGATTTCAGACGACAGTTTGCTACATACTCACATGGACCCATTTTTGCATGCAGTGCTTTCGAATTTAACAAAGAAATCGATCGCCAAACATGCCAAAAGTCGCTCACCTTCGATTGAATCAAAAGTAGCTTTTAATTCAAGAAAAACGAACGATGTGAGACGTTTGATAGAGTGCGACTGTTCAAGAAATTGTCTCGCGGTAAAGAAATAGGGATGAATCTTCGGTCGTGGTGACACCCAGGGGTTCTCTCGAGTTTGTCCCTCCTGATAACGACCACCCAGCTCAAAATGATGCCAGCTAGTATCTTGGCTGTCAGGAATGGATGGCTGAGTGGTTAGAGCGCAGATTTACTGACCAGAAAATCCTTGGTTCGAACCCGGCTTGTCTCTCGACTTCCCCTGCCTAAGCTTGGGCAACGTGACAGTATCCCAGTACTCGTGCTTCCTTCTGGTGGCATGACAGTTAGTCACAGAAAGAATGCTACAGCCGAACCATTTTTTTCGTCTTGGCTGTCGCGGCCACCAACCGAGCGTCACTGAGATTTGAACAAAAGCACATACTTGGTTTATGCTTGAAAACATTGACTCCTTTGGAGAGGTTGTTTTTATGTGGATTTTTATTCTTTCTGACTTCATTCCGGTTGGATTTCAGGGGCCACGAAACCGTCATGCCCTGCCCGCTCAATATAGCAGAAAATACCATTATTATTGAGCCGGGGTCATACTATTTGAAGATTGGAAAACTTTGTGGGCCTCCTCCCAAAAAGCTACATCATTGTATTGCCCGTCGCCTCGCTGTCAAAAGAAAGGCCGGAAATGTTCCCCTAATTGCTGGTCGGAAAGTCATGTTCGGGGAGGAAGTTACCAAAACCTCGCTGTGGTCGGATATTCGCGGTTTATTCTCCCTCACCCTGGATAGTGGTGTGTCTGCTAATGATGCTGACATTCATACTATTTCCGTGGAACGTTCCGATCAGTCCAAATTCGTGGGTAAGACTGACGATGGAGGAGAATTTGTCGTCTTTGGTGACGCTCTACTATTGGCTTCCAATCCACACTATCAGATGACCTGGCCCATAGCAAATGGATTTTTTCGGGACGGGGCCAATTATTCCTCAGTCGTACAAGATCTAGAAGACATATGGTGCATGGCCCTGGAAAAGCAAGTGAGTTTCTGATAGCACTTATTTTGCAACTTATGTTACACGAAATTTCAATATAATTAGTAGCTCTGGAAACAGCGTTATGTAGTAGTCTATCCTGAGAAGATGTTCTAGTGGGCTTCCAAACGTGGCGATAACAATATAAGTGACCATGAGCCTCGTTTCCACTTCTAGCAAGCTATTCGAGGAGTTTTTGAATTTTAAATTTTTGAATAGATTAAAATTTGAAATTTTTAAAATTAAATGCGGGCGTGGCTCAGTTCGTCGTGTCAGCCGTGATGCTTCTTTGTCTAACTTTCTGCTTGACTTCCTGCAGCCGTATGGAGACCAAGGTTTACATTCAGTCCAATACAGGTAGACGGAAGTCTGGTTGTAGTAGTTGACACAGTTAGGATGTATGCTGGTCTCAAGCGCCCGTCTGTTCCATGTGTGACCTGAATTCTGACGAGTATGCTTTTGCCATCGAAATCGATTTGTGGTTTAACTCGAGTACATGGTTTTTGATGATTGAATCGCGTTCTCATTTTCTGAACTCAGTTGGATTTTGTAGATGGGGTCGCGCGTGACTTTCGTGCTCCATTATCTGCCCATAAAGTTGCCTGTCTATCCGACTTATGTATTTGGCCGAGCATTCTGGACGGATAATTCGGCAGACAGATTCTGTGCAGCCTTCAGTCTGATGGGGTCCGCAGCTCTTACGAGGTGTTGTTGTAGGGTATTATCGGTTCGGAAGAACATTCCAATATTATAATCCCGAAGTATCTTCCAGGTGGCGTCGGAATTGCCATCTCTTTAGGACATTTCCACGGTGACTACTCGATTTTAGTCTCCCTCTCTCACCATTTCGCGTAATGTCCTCACCATGGTTACTTGTTTTTTGGTGCTTGTTCTGTTGTAATACCCTGCTGACTCGATTCGGCTGACCTGCTCGTATGGACTCACTTGAGCATAACCTCGGGCACGACTCGCTAAGCAACTGACAACTGCTTTTGGCGTGGTGTGGATGCAAGAACTAGCAATGCAGATACCTGTCGGAATGCCAGGAATTCTTGTGAGCCATCGCCGAAATTCGGTGACTGTTGTTAAAAGATAACCCACAATCCTTATCGCTTTCAGCTTCCACAACGAATTGTCTGCTGCTGCACTGTTCGTTCAAACAGTCAAAAAAGCTTGTTGTTGTGTAGCCGGTACACTCTTGAACAAATGTACAAAGTTTGAATAACATATTTGGATCTGAGTCTGGCTGACCGTTCATGACAACCTCTGTGTGATTTCCCTAATCCCAGTAAATTGATTTAAGCATGAGAATTTAACTGTGCAACAACGAAGTCAAAGCTACCTACCTGCTTGTCATTCTTTATAGGTCACGTGGGATCTTACTCCTTACCCTGTAACCCCATAGTCAACATTGAACGTGGTTGCGTGCGATTTGAAGATAAATTTCCGTTATGTGGGTCGAGATAGCTCAGTGGTCGTAGTGCAAATTTACTGACCAGAAGATCCGTGGTTCGATCCCGACCTCTGCCTCTCGATTTCCCATGTCTAGGCTTGGGCAACGTGGTCGTGTCCCAGCCCTCGTCCTTCCTTCTGATGGTATGGCAGTTAGGCACCGAAAGGGTGCTGCAGCTGTATGAAGCGTTAGTTTTACTGCCTTTTAAGTCTATCAAACCGCCGTCATTTCAAATTACTTTACAAACCGTTTGCGTTTTGGGGTGATGAATACATCTCAATATCTGACATGGTTTACGTGGCCTAGGTTGTGTAAGTAAATAAGCACCACGTATAGCCAGTTGAAATGGCCAGCTTGGGTATTTTCGTTGCCTTTTTTATCAACGGAACTGGAAGCATTTGGACCAAGTCGCAGTCGGTCATGAACCAAACCAAACATTATTGGAGCACAAAATTGCGTGCCCGAAAGTGCACGTGAATTGGGTCCTCTTGATCCAATGCCAAACCTTTTATTATTCATGATGGTTGTAGAACTGAAATTCCGCGATGGCCATCATTCGGACCACCATAATTGATTACGTAAGTTTGATTTTTGTGTGACTAGTTAGTCCTCCGGGTGCATGCACTATGCGCTCCAAACTTTTAGTCTTTCCTATCTTGTAGTCTGTCGGTCGGTGCAAAATGACATGTGGTATTAATTATCCTGCCTGAGGTTCTATGTAGTTGATGTGGAAGGTAAATTCTGAAACTTTTATCAACCCTCTATTGCCCCACATCTCAGTGCGACTAAAAATCCCATAAGACTGCTAATAATTGGGTCCGTCAAATCAACCAACTGGCCGCCAGAGAAATGGGGTTTTACGGATACTAAACTTAAAAATGATTAAGGTATTCAACGTAGCTCTTGACTGAGTCATAGCTTGATAGCATCTTCGAGTGCGATAGCTGACTCACTAGTTATTCAACCACTCTTACCGTGCACTATCATAGTTAAATGAAAGGCACACGCTACATGGCTACCCCATATCTCTTGACTGCAATTGTTGTTCCTATGTGTTAGGTAGAGGCTTTCCATGATATAACTGAGGCGAGTATGGCGCGCTAACGGATTGCGCACAATTAAGATATGTGGAGGTAGGTAAGTCGCATAAGGATTGAGCAGACTACTTTGAGATTCCGGGCGTGAGGTTTACCTCACTGTACCAAAGGTACGAGCATTTGATAGAGTAAGTCTGTTTGCTTCAAAATATCCACCCGGTCGCTCCTCGTTGGTAGAATTCAAGACTCTTAACACAAGGACTTCCGGAAGACTGTTGCAACGAACATTATTTAACTCGCTTACAGTTATCCTCGTTCAAACTGAGCAGTCAAACGACCCTGTTCACTGACACAGATTAACCTTAGTTACTTTCCTTGATGTTAAGTTGACTTCGTTGAATTTCGCTCATGCGGATAATTTCTACACCTCTAAGTTGAAGTTGTGTACATCTCTTGCGTCATTGCCAGTGACCTGCACCTCTCTATATGCCGCGCACGTACGTCCCTCTCGACCATATGGGAAGCACGATTAGATTATATATTAATGTTTGAATTAGTTTCATTATAACAACTGATTGTTCAGAAAGCCACTAGCTATCTGCATGCTGCGTTTATGGGGTTTTGCTTCACCTAACCCTAGTCCGTCAACTGGCGCTGCCCGGCCTTCTGGTATATTGAAATGGACATAACGGCGTACGGTGCGATTGTTTTGTCATGAGCGTTTGCACCACACGTTGTTTGCCAAACTTTTCTAGATCATCTGAGCCTGGTCATTCTTTCACCCGTTGCTGCGTTTGGAAAATGATAACTATGGAATCCTTTACTAGTTAGAGGACGTATCGTAAGCGAAACGCTGCCCGACAGCAAATTCTCTGCTTTTTGCCAAACCTTTCTGAAATCTATGATTAGTTTCAGGCCAAATATGCAAGACTGTGGATGACGATCCTGACCGTATTCTGATGAGTTACTTTGACTACCACCAACTCAAGGGTGCAGATATTCGCCAGGATTATTCAGCCGCGTCGAACACCTGTTGTGAATTCATAAATAGAGAACTATACGACCCACTTAATCCTCTTCGACCGTTCCTGACAGTTCCCGTCTGTTCGTATTCGTTAACCGAACGTGTTGATTGTACTCACGCATGATCGCAACAAAACAAGTTTTTTCACCCTTAATTGGTTGATTTGACTAGTTTTACGAGGGTCGGAATAACCCACGGACTCGCACTCCGTTGCCTCGTAGCCAAGTCTAGGCAAATGTCTGTTGTAGTTCAGCTGTACATAATCTTGTTAGCAGTCAAGTTATCACTCATTTTGAATAAATTACCGACGAACAGTACTTTCTGAGGGGTGAAAACGTCTACGGACCTCCGTCCAGCTTCTGCTTGTCTTGTTCAGAACCCTGAGAGTAAATATCCGCGCTTTTTTCTGGTGTATGTGCACACGCTTTCGTGTCGGACACCATTGCGAAGAGATTCAGGTTGTCTGTTATTTCGATCATCAATTATTTACACACTAAACAAAAGGGACTTGCGAGTGTCAGTGATATTAGCTGAGAAAATGGAGTGGGATGAAGGACACCAACTTGATTGATCAAGAAGTGAGGTGAATTGTTGAACACAGTAGCACCAGAAGGTCGGATGACCGCCAGAATAAAGCTCGCCTAACGCTTTACAAAACAACAACTAATGTGCCTCAGATCCGAGTGCAGACTATGATCAGAGGACTAACGTCCAAGTGGGGTCTAAATGGTTTGCAAGCAGACTTGCTCGTGAGCGGTTGTACGGTGTCTAGGAACTTGATAATCCTCTCACTTGTTTGGCGACACTGTTGCGCTGGCTACCACTGAGTCGTACAGGTAGCACTGGCTTGAAGGAGTTCTTCCTTGGGACGATCTGTGTCTTTTTATAGTCTCACAGACTGGCTTCTGAACGAGGCCTAATACCATCTCCAGGAATGCAAACGTGCTGGTGTCGAAAGTGGCTCAGATCCTATCAGAGAATACACCCGTTTGCCTCCCAGTCTCTTGAGAGAGCCTCGCCCTACCCTAGTTTGCATATTGCCGATCCCGCTCGGCGCTCGATACATGGCACGAATCATGCGTGCTGTTGCTTCGGTTCTTGCTAAGAAACTAAAATAAATCGTCCAGCTGCGGCATCCTTTCGGCACGCAGCTGCTACGCTACCCGAAGGAGGCGTGAGGACTGAAATACTACCAGGTTACCCAGATCTAGGATGAAGCAGTGGGAAAGTCAGGACCGACTTTGAACTACGGACGTTCTGATCGGAGTTTTACGCGTTGCCACTTAGCCATCCCAAGCTATCTAACCTTAATAATAACTGTATGATGAGGACACTTTTCATGAACTATCCGAACGTCTTTGATAGCCGCGGCAGACCAGTGCCACTCACTGTCAGAGGTCTTGACAATAGTATGGTCGAGGGGGTGAGATGGCCCAAGTGGGTAGAGCGCGAATGTACTGGCCGGAAGGTCCGTGGATTGAACCCGGCCTCTGCATCTCGACTTCTCTTGTCTAGGCTTGGGCCACCTGGCAGTATCCCAGCCCTCGTGCTTCCTTCGGGTAGCATGGTAGTTAGGCACCGGAAGGGTGCTACAGCTGGACGAATAGTATGGTCAGTTTCTTGCTACACTGCTTCCGGTATCTTATGCAGCTTACCTTTTCTACTAGATGTCCTGCACTCTTCCCATAAACGCTAGCGTGCCTAAATGCTTATATCTCTATGTACTTTCATCCTATATTAGTGGCTGCTTGCTACCCATCAGCATAATAAGTTCCTAGTGTGAGGACGGTATAGTTGTTGGTTGTCCTAATTCGGACCAATAATTCAATGGGACTTCTCCAATATAGTTAAGTGGTTGTTCTGCCTGTCCCCTAGTTTAGGTTTGGTCGTTTATCCGATGGTTCATTGTTGCCTGAAATCTCCCGCATTGGCTGTGAGTTTGAATGTTGTCAGTTCGATTGCATTCATTGGTAGTTGATCAGGTGGCTGTTGATCTGTTCGTGGAGCTTTCACACGTTTCACCACCATTCGAGGAGACTCGTCAATGTGCGATTGAGCGGGATACCTGAGTATGTATTGGCTAGCACCAACCAAGCACATATGTGTACTTCGAGTAAGCCTTACCAGTGGTGCGGGCTACCGGGGATGTTCATGAATCCGCTGTATGTTACAACTGTCTAGTTGTCGGTGTATTATTTAATTGTGGGTCATTATTTTGGCAAGACTTTGGATCTGGAACTTTTTCCGGTTAACAAGACGGGAGATTTACACCTAGTTAAATTTGCTCATTTGGTTACGCTCGCCACTCGGGGCAAGCCGCATGTAGTTCTGTCTTTCCAGCTCGTGGGTTCAGCGGTTCCGGAAACGGGTGCCAATCCACCACGGCGATTTAGTGGATATAAAGTGGTTGGTGATAGATGATTTACTTGCAAATTCTCTTTTTCCTTAACAAGCCGAATGAATCATAAGGCCATGAACATTTCACTAACTCCCCCTCCCCACCCATCCGTATTTGTGGTCAACTCACGATGGTCGCAACCGTCAGATCCTTGGAGCATCTGAGTAGCTTGATCGCTAGCCTAGTAGTGATGCATATACGCCGTTTTGCAATGGTCTACGGCTGTGCACGCGGTTTTCTCGTCCGTCAGCTCAACATAGTTACCATGGCGACAAGGCACTCAAGAATGACGTGATTCAATAGCACACACCCATGCTGCAGGTAAATAAAGTCATTTTGAAAATGCTTGATGTGGATGAATTGGATCCCTAAATTCGTGTAAGCAACTGGGTGTAACAGAAAATGACATGAGATCCGAGAGACAAATGTTCGGGTGATTATTGTATAGGAATGGACCTGTAGGGTTTCGCCTGACCGATGAGCATTTTTAGTTAACTTTTTCACTCACTTGTATTTTATTATTCCTGACTATACTGCTTAATACCAATTATTTTCCCTCTTATCAGCTCGGCATAAATCGATCTGATTTTTCTTCCTATCGGGTTATTCTCGTCATTGGTGATGTCTTCAGACGCCACGAAGTGCGATATTTAGCCGACATGCTTTTACAAAAACTTGGGTTCAGCCATCTTTTCGTTCATCAGTCTGCGGTGTGTGCAACCTATGGTCTGGGAGTCACAACAGCTTGTGTTGTCGATATTGGGGAGCTGAAAACCTCGGTTTGTTGCGTGGACAACGGAATTTCTCCACCGGACGCTCGGGTCGTGCTCTCAGTTGGCAGGAACAGTGTGTTGCGTACTTTCCACGGAATTTCGTTACCCAGTGGAATCACGAAAGGAAATGGAGACTACGTGTACGTCCCTGTTCATGGTGTTTATTATATATTTATGAGTTTCAGTTTAGCAGGCGTCAAAGGCGCCCTGTTTTTAGTCCGAAATGATGACGTTTTCGTAACTAGCTATTTAACTTCCTGTAAGTTAGCAAGGATTTCAGTTTTCGAAGCACTCTACTTCCAAAACTACCACTTAGTTTGATGGGATATTTTGAAAGTTCAATTACCCCATTGAGAGGCCGTCCCTCACAATAGGACTATTCGATTTTTCACGTTTTTTGGTATCCATATCAGCAGAACATTTTCGTCAGTCCTTTCAGACGATCTCCTTAGAGTGGGTCAACTACATCTTTTGCTTTAATACCCCAAAACAGAGCCATTCGTGAAAATCCTAGTTGACAAATGTTTTGTGCAATTGCCTGTATCTGAATACTTGTGACGTGTCCCGTCTGACTCACAGTTCACCAATCCATGCACACTCCAACTCCTTAATAAGGACTTCCCGTGGGATTCATTTTCGAGGAACCATCGCGTACTCAAACATCTTCCGACCTTAGTTCAAACTTGCTAATTGGTTTGTCTACAGATGAAAGCATTTTTTCTTTAAATTAATCAGCATGATTTGTCTCAGCATGTAATCAGAGTATTTCTAAAGAAGTCCACCAAAAGTTGTGCTAAAAATGTCACAAAAATCGGGATACAGCATTTGTACCTGAACCTTCATGCTCCTGAGCAAATTAACACCCACGATTTCTGTATTTGATGGTCTTATTTCATCCAGTGCTCTTCATTTTTTTGATTCAGCGATTTTGACTACACCCTCGCCTCCGATGTAAATGCTCTTCGTACGTGGTTGACTGATGCAGAACGTTCCGCTCATAGCCTGATTTCTCAGCTTGGTCAGTTGGAAAAGCAAGATCCTCAGCTCAGGGAACCTACCACCGATCAACGGTTTGAACTCACTTTTGGAAATTGTGAGCTGCACTTTACCGTTCCACTTCGTGTTGGCGCTGTCATCTACGCAAATCTTTTACCATTTCGTCAAATAAGTCTCGCCGCTGATCCTATTCGACTAGACAGGCCTTCGATCTATCATGAGTGTCAAATGTCCCCGCTTGACGCTGCCCAACCGGATGATCCTTTTGACGATCTGTACATAAATATGACAACACGAGAACGTCGTAAGCGTGGTGGAGGCCAAGGGGCTATGTCAGCTGATACCGTTGGCAATGATGCCACCGCGGATGTCAGAATGGATCGGTTGGAACCAGACGTTGCAGAAGTCGTAAGTAGGCCGTTTTTATCATTTCCGTTCGTTGTTTCATTATTCTCAGCCTATGGATTATGACTTGCAAGGGATGCCCTCCCTGGGGCACGTGCTGAGGTGCAAACGAATACTCAGGTGACGTGATCTTTTTTGATGGGTGGTCTTCATCGGGGTCGACCTTTTGGGAAGAGGACAGTTGTTCCTCTGTTGTGCTTGTCGGATTCCTGGTGCCCCTGTTTTTATTAAACGGTTGTCATATTAGAGCAAAAACCACAGCCTATTCTATCCTCCAGCGCCTTTAACATTGATGATGACGCCAGTACAACCATTAGCAACCGACAAGCCATAAGTGGAGAGTTCCACCACATCCAACGGTATCAGGATCAGGTATCAAGATATCGTCTTTCGCCCTTCTCTAACTTCGTAATCGATGTACTGCTTGCGTCTTCTTCATCTCATTCCAGCACTTTTGGGTTCAAAAGTGCATGGCGATCGTTCACAGACACTGAGTGTGCTGACGGTATGAATTCTGTTCAGTTCAGTTTTTCAGCTCACAAATCGTGACGGTATTGGTCTTCTTGGATTAGGCCGTTTTAAATAACGTATGTAATTCTGCTGCAAGATTCAAGTGGAATGTGTTACTGTAAGATTGGATGGGGGCAAACCCAGATCTTACGCTTGCGAATGATTCAGTCGATGTGATAGGTAAGTTCGCCTACCTAGGTAGCTGCGGAAGTCCTGATGGACTGGCGGAAGATGAAATCATCTACCCAATTGGGAAGTGGTTTGCAGCGTTTGCCAACCTTGTGCTGCCGACACGACATCAGGAAGGCGGCTATGCGTAAAGTGTTCAGCTGTAGCACCCTTTCAGTGCCTAACTGCCATGCCACCAGAAGGAAGTACGAGGGCTGAGATACTGCCAGGTTGCCCAAGCCTAGACAGGGAAAGTCGAGAGGCAGAGGTCAAGTTCGGACCACGGACCTTCCGATCAGTAAATTCGCGCTCTAACCACTTGGACCATCTCGTGTAAAGTGTACACTGCTGCAGTTCGATATGTCCTACTTTATGGATCACAGACATGACTGCTACGTGCAGGTTTTTCTATACTTGGTGTGTCTGAACAACGGTGCCCCTGAAACATTGCGCGCATCTAGTGGGAACATCAAATCAGTACTACTGAGGTACACCAGATGACTTTCAAATCAGTTGGTCACACTGTTTGAGCTACGCTGGTTAGACCATTTATTTTCTATACCAGAGGCCCGGTTACCTCACAAAGTCCTCATCGATCAGTTATGTATCGGTTGGAGGCAGTTACTTCATAACAGCAACGTAGCATGAAGGACCGTACAAGCCAAGTTAGTCTCTACGGTAAATGACATGGGCCCGGTTGAGTAACCCGGGACGAGACAAACCAATGGTTAGTGATACTGACATATATGGCTGTTTCAGGCCAGTGGCTATCCTGAATCATTTTCACTGCGTAGCTCAGTTCTTTTCATATCGGACAAAAAACGCGTTGCTTCATCAGCTTTACCGTCGGTTGATATTGCTGGTGTGACATGTTCAACAAATTGTTCTGCATCTACCCAGAGCGGAATTCTTGCTCAAGCCAATTCAGGAGTTTACCGGTGTGGTGAGATTGTGTACCACCTATGCTGATAACCCATCTCAGTAATTCTGACTCCATAACACGTAGGACGTTTTTGTTGTGGTATTTCCATTTGATGAACTATTAAATACCCCTCTTTCGGTTAGGGAGGCGTAACTGTGTGCAGCGGAGGGGAGAATTGCAGGGAGATTATCCCTTGACATCCCAACCCACGTATTGCACACTTGCGAATAATCTCATGCCACATCGGCCGTCGCGCGGTGCCATCAGTTGGGTCGCTTTACTTGTTGCATATAGCAGGGTGGATAAGCGAAAACAGGCTGCTGTTGACGCCCTTGTTCTCTCGCCTATTTTCTTGTCCTCTCTTCCAATCCATTAATAACTCTTCGTCTAGGCCTGTCAGTTAGGACTGATGACTCCATTCGTTCTGCATCGGTTTTACAAGCAACTTGTGCGCGTTATCCAGCGCTGTTACCCTCAATCACGATCGTCACAATCAACCTTCAAGCCTCTAAACCTAGTCTATCGCACTCCGAAGCGAGCAGACATCATCGTCATTATTATTATTATTATTGTTATTATTATCATCATTATCATCATTGTCAGCTGTACAGTGGTTGCAGTACAACATGCTTCTCTTGCTCTACCACTGTAGTCGTTTACCACTGTCAGCTGTACAGTGGTTGCATTACAACATGGTTCTCTTGCTCTACCACTGTAGTCGTTTACTTTGATGTGTTCTACGTATCAGAAACAAGAATTCGAGACGCAAGCACAATGGTTAAGCTAATCGCCCAGTCATTCTCCACTCGCTTCCGGCTGCGTCCCCTCTGGTTATCCAGATGCTGCTGCGGCAGGATGTGTAGGGGTTGGTATCGTCCTAAGTCACCTGGCGGAAGGATCTTTGCATGACTGGATACCTGTTGATAGGCGCTTCTGTATGGTTTGCATGGCAACGTCTGTGAAGAAGTCTTACAGGTGGAAGTTGTCTGTTTGTTGTTTCTGCTTGCAAGCCAACCGACTTTAGCTCTGACACCATCAAATACAACTTTTAGGATGACCTGAATACCTGGTCGCGTTAAGCGAAAAGGTTAGACATCGTCGTGGTTAACGGACATCTGTATCCACAGGTGGGCAGGCTTAGCGCATCTGGAACTGGATTGTATTAGACATGGATTGACTCCGTACATACGGCCAGCGGCGAACCATCGCTGTTTTTTGCAGTACTACCAAATGGTGTCCCCCAACGGCTTGACGGCCACGGACTCAAATCGATCACATTGCCATCAGTTACCGATGGCGCGGATCAATAACTGACTGTTTGTCGTTTTGGAACACATTTGTGGATTCTGACCACGCACTCGTCGCTTCTCCCTTCTATTTTCGGGGCCGCTTAAGGTGCGAACAAATAGCTTAGGAACTGAGGGACTGGTAGATCTGGATATAAGAATAATTTACCAGAATCGTCTTCCAACTGTTCTACCATCAAATATGAATTCGAGCTGGAACGAGATCGTTACCTCTTTGTACAGTCCTGGGAGCTGTGTCTGTGGCATGGCGCTATCAGACTCAACCAATACTTGGAGGTGGCACTGCTTAAATCTCGGAGGAATATCCCAAATGATGCCAAACATTACTTGACCAGACGGACTATCAGAGGTCATGTGAGAATGAGCGTGCTTGCCTACCGTAAAGCCTGGAGAACTCTGAAAGCTAAGGGAATGAAAGAAGCCTAGAAATCCGGGAATACCCGAAAATTATTTCAGTTGGTCCTTACGACTGATCCCCGGAAACCACCTGTGAGCGAAACAACCAAGGATCAGAATGCAGCTATCTTGAATAGATGAGAACACCTTGACCGCATATGTTCTGTCAAGCGCCACCGATCTCCTGTCCTGAATGTCCTCCCACCCGCCTTGTTCAGAGATGGGGTTGAAATCCTCAGCCGGCGCTTGTCTGATGTGTTTGCGTGGATTTTGAGAAAGGAGGCTGTCCCAGACAACTGGAGGGAGTGGGTTATGGTGCCTGGTTTCAAAAAAGAGTTCGTAGTGAGTGCGGTGAACGCACGTGTTTCACTTTGCCCCCCGTTGTAGCGAGGCTATTGGTGTCACGTGTGTTTCATCAACTTATGATGGCTCGTGATGCACTGATTCGAGAGCGACAAGCGGGATTCCTGCCTGGTAGGGGTTGCGTTGACCAAATCTTCACACTCCGTCAGGTGCTAGAACAACGCCATACGTGCAAACGACCCACAATCTATTTCTAGATTTATAAGGCGCAATCAACTCGGTTGACGGTCTGTTTCCCACCAAGGAATGCGCCGGAAGTTCGTGAGCATAATACGCTTTTGTATTGTCAGAGTTCCGGACCTGTGAGAGTATATGAAGAGCTCTCCAAAAGCTTTCATACAGGGTGCGGTATCCGTCAGGTATGCTCACCTGATCGCCGCTGCGCCTGGTTGCAGACGTTGGAAGATATGACTGTTAATCGATGTCAGTGGCATTCTTGTTGTTAGTTTTTCTGCAGAATGCCTGTGTGGGTTTCTGTAGGTTTAGGCACCTCGGAATGATTGTGGTTGGCTATCACTAAGTTCCTTCCGCATCCACGTCTATCTTCTTCACAATTTGGCTTTGAAATCATGGTTGCTCGGCAGCAAAGCGTCAGCGTTGAACACTGATGTTATGCTGTTGACCCTTTGCTTGTAGTAGTGCTTAGATTATGTTGGGATCTATATCGGTCCATGCAGTACCATGTTTCCAGGACATTCCTTGTTCATCTCGTATTCTCACCTGTTTGCTACATTGAAACTGTTTCCTTGACCTTCATGTGTAGGGGATAGTTGATCGTATTTTCTGATAGCTGTCATTCATGTAGACAGTTTTCTTTCAATTTATCCGGTATATTACTTCCGATAGTCCATATGACAGTCCACATCGTTCCGTCCATTCTCACTGGCCCTGAAATTTATCATTTGTTTTGTGAGCTGCCACGTTTACTGTGGGTTTCGTTATATTTCAGATTTGCGATAGTGTGACCTACCTCTTGATCTGATTTGGTGGTTGTTGGTATGTCTACTGCTGCGGCGGTCTTCTGATAAATAGCGAGATAGCTCAAGTGGTTAGAGCGCGAATTTACTGCCGGAAGGTCCGTGGTGCGAACCCGACCTCTGCCTCTCGACTTCCCCTGTCTAGGCTTGAGTAACCTGGCAGTATCCCAGCCCTCGTACTTCCTTCGTGTGGCATGGCAGCTAGGCACCGACAGGGTGCTACAGCTGAACGATTTTTTTATTTGATGATAGAATTTCGTGCGTATCCATTGTTTCGAAATATTCTTTATAGGTAGCTTTCCTCCTGAACTCTGCTGTACTATGCAGTGTGTCTGCCTTCCTGAACAGTGTACGGATGCAACTTTTATTGTGGTTCACTGTGTGGTTGCTGTGATCGTTTGTCATCTGATCTGTTTGCGTCTCCTTCCGTCAAATGCAAGTTAAAAGATTTCGGTCCATATTCCTTAATGTATACATCCAAGAGTAGAATTTTGTCCTTATCTTCAAGTTCGATTGTCAACTTGGTATCTTCAAGGGCACTGTTGAACAGCTCCTACGCATCCTGGAATAATGTCTGTTTCATGACAAGTGTATCATCTACACTGCCGACCCAGCTTCGACTGCTGTTGATAGATTTCTCCATCAAATTTGAGGTATATATCCATGGTAAAGTTCAAAAACTTATGTGGGATTTTCGGTTTCGCTGGTCTTCTGTTCAATTTGTTTTTGAGCAAGTTCATTGCGGTTTCTCTAGTAAGATTATGAATGATTGATGTGAAAACAGTGTTGACATCAGACGGGAGCGTAATTTCGGATCCTCCGTAGGTCTTCAGCCAAATCGTAAGTTACAGTTCCTGGTAGACAGGTGACTGGACAAGGTGGAAATCCCTCATCATGTGCCCTGTGTAGTCTGCGGAACCATGGGAAGTTACTGTCATCCGGTTCCATTTTCCATCGTTGGTAATCCCGTGTGCGGCGAGATGGCCAAAGTGGTTAGAGCGCGAATTTACTGACCGGAAGGTCCGTGGTTCGAACCCGACCTCTGACTCTCGACTTCCCTTGTCTAGGCTTGGGCAACCTGACATTATCCCAGCCCTCTTGCTTCCTTCTGGTGGCATGGCAATTAGGCACTGAAAGGGTGCTACAGCTGAACGAATCCCGTGTGCTACTTGTGGATTCAGCTGACCAGTTTTGAGACGGTCAATAAATGCTCGCCCATTCACCGATTGTTTGGCTTTGGCAGTGTAGTCGGCTTGGTTCAGTACCTTTCACTAGTAATAACACTCCTCATTGCGAACTGGTCTCGGATACTCCGCATGCTTCTCTCCACTCTGTCAATAAGCTGCCAACGAATTTCTTTTGTTTTCTAGAAGGTGGGTTTTCCCGTTCATTCACTTTATTTAATTCGAAAGTGTGGGTGACGTCATCTTTCCTCGTGATTCTCCCTGTTTCATATGTCCTGGTCAAGGGTTTCACTTGTGAATACTAATTATGGGGACCGATTAGAATCAACAGCTAGCAAAGTACAACCATCTCTTTATGGGATGTTCGTCAAATAGTGATGACTTCTAAAAAGGTCACAATAGCCCTCCCCGCCCGCCGCTACTCAGTGTACAATCCACCCGAACAGAAACTCATTCAGGGAAACCAAAAAGCTTTTCCTCATGGTATCCTGTCTTCAGGGGATTACTGCGCCGGAAGTTGCTTTCCTAAAGGATGACCCAGGTGGTTAACACTGGGCCGTTGTATCTGAAGCGAGGGCTTCGTAAAGGCCAATCACCTCCGTTTTCTAAGGCAGATTTTCCATGCGTCATTTCTTAATCCAGGCGTCTGGTCATATCTCTCTGGCTTATTGAATCTATATCTGGGTCCTTTGCCGCAGAAGGTTCCAACCACCCGTCATACTTTTTTCCTTACAGCAACCCACGCCAATAAACGATACCCAAATTTCCCTGCCGGCTCGATCCACCGCTTTCGAATCACTGCCCAGCGCTATCTGGTGGAGCATTTACCAGTGCGCTTTCACGGTCAGTGCACAATCGACTTCAGAAGCAGGTACTTTGGCCTACCCGATGGCACCAGTTAGTCAAGCCTCCGCAGAAGAACTTCGGCGACGCCTCCTCCGATGTGTGGTTCTTATCGGAGGAGGTTCCTGTGGACCTGGTGGTTGTTGGTTGGCAAAATGGCTCACTTCAGAACTGAGCAGTTTGCTTGCATCCACATTCTCAATCAACGCCCCCATGGAGGATGTTAATCGTCCTCCTGTGGAGGTCGTCACATTTGATGATCAATCTGATCTGGCCTGGTACGGGGCACGGTTGTTGCTGACAGCTGATTCATCCAGCGATATGTGGATCACTCAGTCGGAATGGAGAAAGTATGGTTCACGTACCTTACGCGAGAAGGCTCCGTTCCTGTGGTGAACCGGGAGGCAAAAAGATTGTACATAATACTGTATAATAAACTTGTTTTTACATTTTCCCAACTTGGTGGGTTCTTCGAGTGAGTGGTACAACTCGTTCGCTCAGCACCCGGCCAGTCTCTGCAAACATCTAGGTGTAGCGTACTCGCCAGTATTGGACGAGTAAATTAGAAACGATCTTTTATAAAGACAATTCGCGTGATTCGTGACTGGATCTGTGAGCCACGAGGTCCCAGGCGTCTGCCGGCATTCATGGGATATCGTTGTTAATTGCATTCTAAGTCATTTTGATGGTCAAAGTGCGGCACAATACACTTTTGAATGTACATCTTACGACCAAGTTGAGGTTGTCCACGCTGTCGCACGTGATACCACCGAGATCGCAGTGTGACTGCCTTTCGTAAACCCTGAGTTGGGTTGATGATCAAGAAAGCTCCCAGAATGTAACATGCGTTGAGGAACTCACTAGTGGGGATCTATGAACCCTGTTCCGAAATTGAAATTTATACGAGTAGGAGGTCCACTGGCGTCGTGGTCGGCCGTACTCTGTGATTGGGTGTCATGCAACGCGTATTCGTGTCTTAATTCAAATTCTTTGTTATCTAACGTCTCGAACCGCGATAAAACATGTCTGAAATTCCGGAAGAAAGAAATATATTTTATCCAATATTGATCCAGAAGTCAAATGCTTACACTTTAACTGAATGTGTTGAAATTCTCCAAACGTTTCATATGAAATATATTATTGGTTTCCGAAAGCACAATCGCCCTAGATCAACCACTGTCACTCAATCTTGACCGGGATCGCTCGACTCGGATTACAGCTCCGATTTACTGCCGTGGAGATCTGCGAACAGGAGTCACACCCAAACCTCAGTCAAATTTTTATCCTCGACACGTATATCTCAATGTGGACCGCATGGAAATCCCAATAGGGCATCTGTTTTTACCGAAGAAGGTTGTCGTTTTGCTTTACTGGTCGCACAGAGCTAATTTCGTACACTAATTCTCCTCCAGGTTTCCGGTAAAGTGTAGGAATTCCTGGAACGATGTAAGCAAATTCGGCCTTGTGTAGGTCGAAAAATTCAGTCCACCTCCAATGTTTATCATGGAGCACTGAACTGACCTTAATCAATGTGCCACTCCTTCAAGGCTTAGTGTAGACAAGACATTGCACAAATGGACAGTATTTCGGGTCATACTTCAGGCATCTAACAGACGGTTACTTTGATCTGAAAAGGTGATTCCAGTTGCAGAATGGGAACCCGGGATAGATAAAACCAGCGCTCATTTCTTTGATGTCATCCGGGTGAACGTAGATCTACTTTACGTTCTCCTGAAGGGATTCAACGAAGTACATTTGCATAAATGTAAACGACGAAGTATATTACGTGGAACAAGTTATTGCTGAAAAGTGATAAGTGCACCTTCCTTTCTTCAATGGAATTTTTTACATAAACCGAAGGGGGAGGTTACTTTGCTCTTATAGAAGAAATCGCGGTGCATCCACCCCAGTCGGCTGTATCACTGAGCTGAATGACGCATGCCTTACATTTAGAATACAAGAACTTATTTATGGTGATAAGGGAACCTTTTTAACTCTAAAAGCACGTGAACGCAGCATTTCCACTGAAACCAAGCTGCAGTTTGTGCACAAGTTTCACAGACAGGTATTGGGACAATTGCCCTCCCCCAGACAGCTGCTCCCCTAGTACGTTTGCCTCTCCTGCCACCAATGCAATGGAGGTGGCGCTAAATAGTGCCTATTCACGCAGAAGTAGATGGGTGCAAACTGATTGTCACTAAAGTCAGAAATCTTGAACCACTCGAAATGTCGCAATGGTCAAAGTTTTGTTCTATTTCTTGATGGCTTAGCATTTTAATCGTCGTGTCTGGTCAATCAAACTACAGATATTTCGCATGGATTACATGGTCTAAGGCCGTTGTATCCTGTATGTGATTCGTGGTTTGTTTTGCTTGGTTCATTCAGTCAAACATTCAATGATATGGCACACAAGCAGTTAGCCCTTGGCCTCATTTGGGCTCAGCCGGTTTAGACTCAGACTATGTACACTTTGATTGATGCGTGTCATTTTTGTACCGAATTAACAAACTGAAAATTTACTGAAAAAGTTCAGGTGTTCATTTCAAACCACCCATTGTCAACTTGTTTACCTTCTAAATGGATAAGCTGAAGATGCAACGGTAGGTAAATATCTTGAAACAGTTGTCCTAAATGAGTGACTGTCCTCAGGGAATAGTCTGAGAACTAAACTTACGTACCACGGCCCTTACATGAATGTACTTTCCACAAAATGTTTCTCGCTTGCGTCTGATTCTATTCCCGTTTTTTGACATTACGATCGAGTGGTCATATCCTAGGTAACCTAAGCACGGAGGGATGTTCTTCACTAGTGCCGATGTTTGCCGGATGCCGTTGTTGGTCTGTATCCCGCTCGCCAGCTTCAAAGCAACGACGAAATCTCAGTTCTGAAAATGATTTGATACGTAATGGGGGAGCGATAATTTACCGCTATCACTTCGGTCGGCTAACTGGGGTTAACACGATCTTGAAGGTGCATAGTTCAGAAATCGAGGAGGAATTCAGACTGTTTCTACAAAAAAAGGCTTCAACAAGCTAAGTGACAAATAGCCGTGCGAATAGTTCTCCAAATACCCACAGGTTCCCGGTGTGAAGCGTCTCCATACAGATCTTAGCGACCCCTATCAAATCACTTAATCTTTCTACGAAGAAGCCAAGCGATTAAAGCGCCAATACGTAATACTGGTGTATTGCTATCAATGGTGAATTATGACGGATTCAATCCGCAGGAGGCTCGGAAGAGAAACGAGAAAGCGGCGATGGGCAGACTAACAAATTCAACTCTAAATGCAGAAGTACCGTAACCTGACAAACCAGAACACAATGTACCAGTTGTACCATGTGCAGGAACTGGTTCCATGTCGAATGTGCCAGGCCCCTAACCAACGATTTTCGTTAACAGATGGCAAACGTTCCCAAACTATGGTTCCTCGAGAATCCTCGTTAAAAACGTAGCGGTCAACGCTATCCACTTCGGCAGGCAATCTTCTAACTTCCGTGACATGACAGAGCATCGCTTAGCGTCCAAACTGTCTTACTTCTGTGCCTTCGGTGTCCGAGCCACGTGCACACCTGACAATATCGACAATCTCACACACCCAGTTTTACCACTTCAACGCCCATGGGAGTACCGACTCCATCGCTCTAGAATCCGCTTCGGAGAGAGTGGAGGTGGTTACCGTTCAGGGTGCACATCACCTAGACCGACCCCTTCATGGAATACAACTCTGTCTTCAAGACATTCCGAAAAATGTGCTGTTTTTCATGTCCAATTCCAGGTGGCGCAACCTGACGGAGGAGTAGAAAAGCTACTCCGTAATGTTCGTGCACGATGGGGTCCGAGTGATTTTCCTATCCGTGATTGGAATTAGTGCAAAGTATAGGTGCTAATCGACATAGGCGTTCATGTTATCAGTTCCTACAGATTGTCTGGATAAGTGTCTGTAGGTGTAGGCATTTCGAAATTGTAGTAGGATAGATACAGATCCCTCTTCTCTTTCTTCCACCTAAAGGCTTTAAATATAGTCAAGTGAGTTTTTAGCTGTGCAACAGTGACGTATCAGTGTCAATATTGATGATGATGCTAAGGCTAAATTTGTCACCGACGGGTAGGATCCGGTCAATCTGTGCGCCGGAGCATTTGCCAAGTTGATCTAGGTCTGGGCTCAGAATGGAGGGTTGATCAGTCGAATTTCGACCCGATTATTAGAACTCGGGTTCTACCGATTTCGGCCAGTTTCTACTTACCCAACAAAATGATCTGAAGGTATCTGATTCCTGTATTCTATGTTTAGACTCGATCGAGTGCACAGCTATGGCTGTGGTAATCAAAAATAGATATTGGTCAAAAGTGCCACCCGGTGAACCCCCGGTCTGTGTAGCTCGCTTCACAGGAACAAGAAAATGATTGGTGCTGTGAAAGATAAATAACCCAGGTAAGCTGTTTGGTTACTGGCCTATTCACCAAGCTCGACAAATGGATCACCAACGTTCCAACACTCCTTGAGGAGACATCATCAGTGAGTGGCTGGGTTGGTCGCACACCTAACAAAACGAACACAATCAGGTCCACTGTTCTTCTGAGCACACCACCGGTATTGGAGCGAAAAAAGACGGAAGTTAGCAGCAAATTGAGCTGATATGCCGCATTTCCTATATTGGCTTTTTACAATGGATGTTTTAGCAACTCCACTTGTTTCGCCTTCATCTCTTTATGGCAGTTTTCTTGTTTCTTTGGAACAATGTGCGTAGGCCACGCAACCCGACCTTCTAATGAAACAGCACCGGTGTCAGGTTACAAAGGTGGGTCGATTGAAATCAAGTGCATGAAAATGGATGTTAACATTTCCGCTTTTCACTAACATAAGACGTAAAGCATGCAAATTGCGTATAGAAAGATTTGCTAATAAAGTCTAACTTACAGGCATGCAGCCAGAATTAAGGCAACCACAGTACTCCGAAAATTTGTGCACACAGAACTGATCAGTGTTCGATTACCACGGCTTCACTAACAGACAACTGGTGTTGTCTCTGCTTGCATAGCGACATTCGGAATGAGGACTTCGGATCGATTTGGTGACCATTTTGTAGAAAGGCTTCGGTAATAGAGGGGTGTATGTTCGCGACTTAACTTCGAACCTTTCCGAAACTGCGCGATCGTCCGAATGACGTGCTGTTGCCTCATGCTCTAAGAGACGACAATCTATTCTGCAGATGCGCATCCAACAGCGTAGGATAGATGACAGATTACGTTAGCAGAAGATGAACCAGACGAACTATTCTCACTCTTGGAAATCGATTCCACTAGAAGTTTGGGTGAGCCGTAGTTGCGCAGCACCGTATGTTCGGCCTAGATCCAAAGCCAATTTACTTCTCATGTCAGTCCCTCAGCAGCGCAATCGTGCGCTGGGAATGAGAATGTGATTGATGGGTATTTATTCCTGTAGCTTAGGCCAATCTATGCTGAAAAACCGAGAAGCACTGTACAGCTGCTTCATCCTCACTGTAAGTCATCAACAGTGCGCAGCCCAGGAGACTCCAGGGAGCTTCGAACCCGCGACCTCCAGGCCGGTAGTTTCAACACAAACTTTCGGTAACCAGCGGCAATGTAATTAGTGTGCACTTAGACAGAATATAGTGCCACATATCCTTCACAGTATATGGCCACAGGTCTTATTACTCAAAGAAGGCATACGTAGTCACAAGAGCTCCATGGTTAGGGACCTCTTGTGACCCATCATACTGAAAGGCAGGACCTTATCACTAAGCTGGAGACGAATTTCGGCAGGTAAGGAGTTCCAAGGAACAGTGGAGGTAGAGACCAGTCCGAGAGTAGGTTACGGTGACTTGGTAGGGATGAGTGGAAGAGCAAACGTGGCTGAAACTATTGGAAGTTGCAAAAGAGCACACCTGTAACAAGTTTAGATGAACACCTACCATAATAATAATGATAGAACGGAAAAATGCTACATTGAGAAGGGATGGGTGGTAATGGGGTAAAACGATGTTTCATAGAAAGATGTCCATTTTTCAGAAGTAAGTTGGAGATTTCGTCACTCATGAAGTCGACAGGATGTGCCTTGTGATTAAAGTTCAAGTTGTCCGATGAATACCTAAACATTCAACCTTCGACTTGTGCCATTGTTGGGAATCCGTTACTTCTGTTCCCACGGGAGCATCCGTCCATCCATCAGCCCATTCTAAACACAGGGAACAACCAACCTCAGCGATATGCTCCTTTCAATTGTTCGTAGTATTCACCGTTGAATTCGAAGTACGTGGTCAAACAGAGGCTGAGCAATTCACATATATCTTCCTTCCTTAGAGGTCCACTGGGAGGTCCATGACTGTCCAGTAGTTCAGCGACTGTTGTCTTTGCGGAGTGAAGGTCCACTGATGTGAACAGTGAGCTGACATCAAATGAGACCATTGTTTCGTCCTCTTCTATTGTCAAAATCTTTAGTTTATCCAAGAACTGTTGTGTGTTTTTGATTGAGTGTTGCTATTCATTGATGAGATACTTGACCTTTCTCCATAGTTCCTTTGCAAGGTTGTAGGTTGGTGTGCCTGGGAGTGACACAATTGGCCTTAGTGGTGTGGTCTCCTTGTGTACTTTCGGGAGTCCGTAGAAGCGTGGGGTATTGGATTCTCTGGCTCTCATTCGCCAATATTCTTCGGTTGTGATCTTTTGGAGGTCGTTCAGTCGCTTCAGGCCGAATGCACAAATGCAAATGGAAGTCTACAGGAAAGCTACACATACGGATCAAATTCTGAGCTACCACAGCAACCACCCAAACTGCCACAAACACAGCTGCATCCGGACACTATTCAAGCGAATTGAAACACACTGCAACACAGTAGAATCTAAAGTAAAAGAAGAGAAACGCCTATACAGAATCCTTCAAAGGAACGGTTACCCAAGGAATTTCGTCTGGAGGTCTCTGAGAAAATGCAATTCAACCAACGCGACAACCAGAAACACAGGCAAAACAATCACATTACCATACATCAAAAACATTTCGGAGATGACCGCCAGGATATTACGACAGCATGCCATAAAAGTGGCCCACAGACCAACTGACACGCTGCGAAGAGTACTATCAAAACCAAAGGGGACACTTAATGCGATGGAAAAGACAAATGTAATCTACAAAATTCAATGCAACGATTGTGAAAAACACTACGTGGGACAAACAGGGAGGAAACTGTCAACCAGAATCACCGAACACAAGCTCGCCACCAAGAGACATGACCAACTCTCTCTCATCTCTGCACACGAAGATGGGGAAGGACACCATTTCGATTGGAATAACGTCAGAATACTGGGTCAGGCAAGAACAAAGAAAGAACGCGAGTTCATGGAGGCGTGGTACTCCATTGGTGGAGCAATAAACAGGCACCTTGAAATTGATTCTGCTTACCAGCCTCTGAGGACAAAGGAAATCCAGAACCACAGAACCCGAGGCCGAACAAGGACTCAAAGAAGAAATCAATAGAACAGCAGGCTACTAAAAATAGGAGGCACGCCACAAACCAACAGAGAAGCCGACCACGACGCAATACAGATCAAGAACGGGCCAATCAGAATCCAGGTTACAGCGCAAAGGCTGCTCTTTGTAGACTATATAAACGCAGGCACGAAGAGAGGAACTACCCAACCAACAGCGCACTGAAGATGTCTCCTCGAATGGTGACGAAGCGTTTGCAAATCAATTGCGAAGCTCGGCGAACAGATCAACAGCCACCCGATCAATTACCAAGTACTGTCTTCGTCTATGCTTTCTGTTTGGTAGGAAATAAGAGGCCATACTGAAGAACAGGGAACATGTGGGTCTGAGGCTTCCGGCGATCTTTGTGGCGATTTTGCGATGTCACAGCACATGCTTTGACAATACCGATCTCATACTTATCTTCGACTCCCATTTTGATCAGGTACACCTGACATGATGAGTTTAAACAGTATACACCTCAGTTCGAGCCAGAATATTATGCGGGGTTTGGTCTCCAAACTGGGGTGTGGTTCGGATTTACAGAATCCAAAGATTGACTAATGCTGTCGTGAGAACCTTTCCTTGGGATGCCTTGTCGTTGTGAGTGCTTCCAAGCTTCAGTCATCTGCTTTAAGCTATTTTGTTCATCTTTCACCTCATAGTTCCAGTGATGTGGCTTCAACGTCCATGGTGCACTTTGCCAGATGCCGTACCGTGGTCAATGTAAGTGTAACTAAATATTTCCAATGTCATTTGTGTCCAACCATCGTTTTCCGGTCAAGGGTGCTGAATAAAAGTAAGCCATGATGCACTCGGATAGAAATCCATGTACTTATCAGTCCCTATTGCAAAGGTTGTTTTTCTATGAATGGGTGGAATGGGAGTTGGGCTCGATCTTTATTCGGCAGAGACTTGTTTCGCGTCAATGAATAGTGGTTTAACCACACCAACTTTGAAGACCACTATCCGGAGAGATCCTTGACGTGTGACAAGCCTGGTCACTTATTAAATCCGGTAGATTCCCAAGGAAAAAAGAAGCTGGTCATCAGAGCCGGGCGATAAGCTCGAGTCTAACACCTATTTTAGTGTTTGAACCGTTTCATGGACGTGTTTTAGTCCCATAGAGTGTCACTTGGGTAGGGTAAGCAAGACTGTGGCATACCGTACAGGTTGTACATTGGTGATGCTATAGGACTTGTTGTGGTGAGTGGTGAGGGACAGCATAGAAACTCCTTTTTACTTCGTTTCGAGTATGCGAGTTTTTAGTTCTTGCTCTGGTGTGTTCTATAGGACTCACTCGAAATTCGAGTGCTACCAGTTTCGTTTTTTTACTGCAGTTACGAAGTTTAATTTTTAGCTGATAGTGAGAGCTTCTCGTTCTATCTAAAGGGCTGCTCCAGTGATGGGAAAGAGCGCTTATAAGGAGGAACGATGGGGCAAAATAAAATAAGCTAACCCTCCCTATAGGTCTCCGTTCATCCCATTGGGTGTTAGAAGATATGAAGGGAATCCCATGTCATAGTTTCCCCATGATCACTGGGATGCGCTGTCTTGCTACCAACAGCTACAGTCAAAACAGGATTCCTGAGTGCTCAGTAGGCGAGCGTTTAATGCGTCTTAGAAATTCTCTTGGAGCCCGTGGCAACGCTGCGTTCCGCAATGGTGTTTTAGTCATTCATTACCCAAATGGATGTTACAACATCGGAACAAACACGGGACCTCATTATTTCGGAAGAGCTTTATTTGAAATCCTGTTTTGAGTTCAGAGAATACCCGGAGTTCATCGCTGAGTTCTCTAAGAATACTAATCCACCACAATCTCGGTGATAATCGATGGAAAGACTTATCTACCGAATTCGTTGATCATACGGCAAGTCAGGAGGGAAAGGGACATGTTCAAAGCCCCGTCTCTGAAAGCTCTATCCTCTCCTACTCCGAAATGGAGGAAGAATAGAAGGCCAGCGGTAGCACACACCTTAGTGGTGACCACTTGTGTTGTTTTTCGAATCATAATGATGATGGTGAAGGTGCACGCCATAAGATCTACAGGGGAATAACACTCATGATAGGCCGTGCCGATTTACTCACAGTAGTCCCACCGGAATAACTGTTTACCAAACTGGGCAGTTCGTGAGGGAAATCGGGGATTACACCACCCCCAAAATTTGTGTGCATCACGTCCAAAAATATATAAATCTCACAACAAGTTCACTTAAGGTCATTCGTTTCTCGGAAGAGATGAATGTTAAGCATTGGTTCGTCTTTGACGCAGTCTCGCATCATTAGATGTTATACAACATTAGGGGCTCGAGATATCTCAGTGGTTAAGGCGCCAGCTTATGGACTGCATGGTCTGTGGTTTGAACCCTACTTCAGTGTCTTGACTGCTCCTGTTTAGGCTTGGGCAACCTTACAGTATCCCAGCCCTCGCGCCTTCTTTTGCACCTAGGCACGGATGATATTTTCGGTATTTTCGACAAAGGGCGTTACAGCTGAACCCTTATTATTATCATCACCGTTCAGTTTGTGAAGTGGCATCAACCCTTTGCGACAGGCTTCTGGCTAGACTGATGCTCTTCGCAGTTGAGTATTCGTATTCTTCGGAAAGAGAATACATCGTCCGTTCAGTCCGTTTCACCTTTCATAGGGTGATGCGGATTTTCACCATTCTACCCGTAGCAAAGCTCTATTTCCACTGTTGAGTCTACACCTACGGGCCCATTCTTCTTTAGGAGTCTTGATCGTAAGAGTCGTTCTGGGATTTCGATGCTCTTTAAATTGTTTGCCCGGGCATCATAACTGTCCATTTCGTGCTCATACCTTTAGTTGTACGTATGGTAGCTGTTTGCCCTAGAATACTAACATTCACCACTTGGGCTGGTCGATTTGTCTTTTCATGAATGGGTGGTGCTGGATCCAAAGATACTGCTGCCACAAACTTTGTTGTGTCGATAATTTTGTGACGTTGCTTTTAGCTTGCATGTTTGTGCTCTTCCCCGATAATTGAAGACAAACTGGATTATCTTGCCCGTCTACGACACTAACTAACCGGGTTCAAACCACATATTCCAAGAGACATGTTTAGTTAAGTGTAAACAAGTCGCTACGATCTACTGGTAGGATGATGGGCACACCTCTTTTTTGTCACCGTTTGATTATGGATTTTGTTGCGGGCCAAATAAAGTGGTATAACAGTGGCGATTGGAATTTAACAACCAACTGCAGCGTGCGCATTATTGCTTTGACATGACTATCATCGTGGCAAGGTATCTTAGCGAACGAAGGGCTATCGAATCGAAACCTGCACACATCTCCCAGCAAAAAATCACAAAAATCTTTGTAGTTGCAAAGCTTGACTTTGCCTCTCCAAACGCACCTATCTGTGTGCTTGTATCAAATCTTCCAGTCCTTTTGCTGACGGAATGAGTGTCAGAGCCGGGAAGAACTTTGCGCGCAGTGACAAGCTTACGGCTGACGAAGAACCCTCAGCGGCGAACGTGCAACCATCTATGGCCTCGGAGGTGTATGATCGCGTATGTGCTCTAAGGCACCACCGAGCTTCTGGTCCGGATGACCGCCCACCCGCCTTGTTCTAAGACGATGATGAAGTCCTCAGTCAGCGCTTATCTGATCTGTTTGCCTGCATTTCGGAAAAGGAGTTTGTTCCAGACTAACTCGGGGGTTGGTGGAGCCGGTGAGGGCGCCCGTTTTCAAAAAAGGGCTCGTAGTGAGTGTGTTAACTAACCACAGGGAGATCAGCTTAACCTTGGTTTTAACGAGGCTGCTGGCATTACTTGTGCTTCGTCGTTTTATAGTGGCTCGCGGTACACTGACTCGAGAACAGCAAGCGGGGATCCGGTCTGGTATAGGTTGCATTGACCGAATCTTCACACTCCGTCAGGTGTCCGATAAACGTTGTCTCAAAAGCATACCTAATGTGAACTGGTGTCTGGGAAACCCTAACGAGGCAATTAAAAAGCGAGTATTCTGTTGTGCAACGAGTGCTTCCATTGAAGAATGTGTCCAGCACCAGAAACTGTGTTAGTTTGGACGTGTTGCGTATGATAAACCATCGTTTGCCGAATAGAGTGCTGTTTTCCATGTCCAACTCAGAGTGATTGAAGCGGATGGGTGGCCAACCCTGGACCTGGTAGAGGGGTATGAGGAGGATAACGAAACGTTTAGGTGCTGTTGGTGGCACTAACCTCCCGGGACGGGGACCGCGTGATCCCCAGTGAGCCTGGTTGGAGAAGCTGCTAGATATGGCTGTCATCCGATGTCACCCGTTCTTGTCGTCAGTTTCTATCCAGATTGTACGGCAGCAAAGTGTCGGTGTCGAACAGTGATATCATGCTGTCGATGACGATGTCAGAAAATAGTTTCCGGGAGACAAATGATCGAAAAACAGCCACAGTTTAGCGAGGTTTCTCATTGTTATGTTCTTAGATGTAACAAAACTTCAGACTACTTGCTGAATCGCCAGCAGAGACAGAGGAGTTTGCCCATTAGATGGTCCGGTGAAATTCATTTGGATTAACGCTGTAGCTTTTTTGGCTGGCCGTAACCACGGTGGCTATCCGACTGACTTACGAACAGCTGTGCTTGTTCCATGCTTTCATTCACTCTAGCAGATAAACGTAGTCACTCCGAGAATCTTCGTGAGAGCGAGAGAGCAAAATTTGGTACGATGATTCGGTCACCAAAATGAAAAGCATTAAAAAGTAACGGACCCCACCGCTGAAAACGTTGTTGGAGTTCTTATGGACAAGCTGTATTCCAAGGTGTCTTACAGGAGGCGTCACTTTTTGTGGCAGTCACCAAAAAGGACGTGTACGATTACCCGTACGGGCATTATGGTCTCCCACTCCACAGCAAAAACCTCTGGCTCGGTAGCTATGGTATCATCTAGTTCCATCTTATGGGGAATCCGTGAAGCGCAAAACCTGCCCAGTTATTTTCGGTTGAGGAGTAATTTATGGCAAAGTTGTAGCAAAGCGGGACCATGATCCACCAACACGGCCGGTTGGTTGCACATAACGGGTTAGGTTTAACCGAATTAAACTGTCTCTGAGGACTACAGTGCGGGCTTTATCGTTGTACGAATGCGAGACTTGGCCGCCTAAGGAGGAGGAGCTGAAACACCTTCGGGCCTCTGAACATTGGTGCCTCAGAACTATAGCTGGAGTCGACAGAGAATCCGCAACGAAAAATCATATGGGTTTCATGTGAAGCAGAGTACCTCCTTCAAAGAATGCACCTAGCACTGCAAGGGGGTTGGGTCGTGTTAATTAAGACGAGACGGGCGCTGGTTTTATTCGCTAATTCGTAGAGGCGGAAACCTAGAGGTGGGCTGAATTTGACATGTAGAGGGAAATGAAGGATTCTACCAAAAGCTTGGGTGCTGTTCGACTTCCAGGCTAGGATCCAAGTGACCCTCTTTATGCCCGGTTGGATACAGTGATATGGCGGTTAACTGATGCCACTAACACTAAAACTGTCAGCTTCTACTCAGATTTTCTGAGTACTGAAGATGTAGGCATGTCGGCTTTCTGTGCTGGACTAACCCTGAGTTCCCCTCCCTGCCGCATACCTATCCTCCTTCCACTGAGGCTTTCAAATAAATTAAAATGGTTGTTCTCACCTGGTGATGCCAACGATGAGGATGAACCTTTGAGTAATGTTTACATAAGATAACGTTTAGGCACACGATTCTTAGAACAGCATTGCGGAAATGGGCATAGTTAAACCAGTCAGAAAAGCGTCTATCAGTTTTAGAGGAATGAGGCACAAAAATGCACTCCATCGACCAGGCTTCCGCCAAGCTTGAGTAGGTCGTTCCAGAAACAACACTCTCATAGGCGTTCACCTGTAGCACCCTTCCGGTATCTAGCTGCCATGCCACCCGAAGGAAGCACGAGGGCTGGGATACTGCCAGGTTACCCAAGCCTAGACAGGGGAAGTCGAGAGGCGGAGGTCGGATTCGAACAACGGACCTTCCGGGCAGTAAATTCGCGCTCTAACCAGTTGGACCATCTCGCCCCAACACTCACATGAGGAAGGGAGACTTACTAGACACAACTTCCGGGTCTTCTGAAGAGTATCGCCGGAAAACACGGCGAGACGGAGGAGAAAAATGCGTAGAAACACGCGATGAGGGTGTGATCTGAAGATTCAATCTGAGCGGAGACAGATAGTGTTTGGTAGTGCGGAGGTTCATAGTTTATGGTCTGACGATGCAGTCTGGGATACGAGTGCGAAGAGACAAGTTGGGATTGACCAGAACTGGGAAAACACTCTGCCTCACCCCCAGGTTCATTGGGATGACTGAAAAAGCAAACATCAAGAGTTATGACTGGTGAAGTCACTAAGCAGCCAGTCTAAAAACTGCACCGGACGGGGGAAGTACACAGTTAAAATTCAAGATGGAAAAGATATATCAATGTTATTGTTGATGAAATCATCACAACTAGCAGCAATAAACCAGCAGTAGATGCTGATATTCAACCACCACACGGTCATGAGGAAAGAATTCCATCGCAAGAAGTGGGAAGAAAGTAGAAGGGTTAGGAAAATGATCAATATAAGGTAAGCTTGTTTGGACACCACATCGCAGTCGGGAGCCATTTTTCAGACTGACCCAACATTCTTCGCCAATACCGCCCACCGACAGACAAAAGTTAGCAAGTCCAAATAGGACGTGACAGCAGTCACCATTCGGACGGTGCACGTACCATGACCAGTATGGTTTTTAGAAGGCCACAGCGAGAACCCCGCCCACTCCAACTAGGAATGTGCGAAGGTGTCAGTTTGGCATTTGCCGTCTTTCCTTATTACTTGCCTCCTTCGAACCCTTCTCTAACAAAAGTGTGGAGTAGAAAACGGTGCTTCTTTTGGCGAATTGCGGCTGGACATAAAGGTCCTAATCGCCTTAATCTGATGGACATCGTTTGCAACCCCCCACCCGTGATTTTGATCCATTACCAAGTGCTCGTTTGAGCACTATTACAATGCGAACACACCTAGCGGCTGGCAGGCAACGGCTGTGCTTCGAGACCATACACTTTAGGCCGTTTAATACCCCCCCACCCCCGAAGAGGAGGCGTCAAGTTCTACAGAGTAAGTCTACTCTTTCTGTTGCCTAGTACGCACGACCCTTTTCAGTTTCAGTTAAGTTTGCCTAGGGGGCCGTAAATGACGCAGGTTGGGAAATGTTCGTGCCTTGATGACGTATACGGTGGCTTCTGAAAAGTATGTGTTCACATTAGCTACCGGGTAAGATAAACTTTAATTCGTCTATCATAAATTTCAGATAGACACAAGGGGACCGAAAATCATGAACCTCAAAAGTGAAAAACGAACAGCGAAAGACGGGATCACTGGAGCCATACTATTCATTACGTGGCTATGATAACCAGTGACAAAAATAATTGGCACAGTAATAAGGATAACAACAGTGAGGTGACTGCGCTATTCGTTCCGTACCAAGCTGCTATCCAACCCGAGGAAGTCACATGGGCTAACATACTGCCAGCATGCCCGAGCCTAGACCGTATCACTTAAGAAGTCAGGGTTCGGACCACAAATCAAACGGTTTCGCGCCATAGTCGTTGAACTGCTCCTGGATCAAGAACCCAAGAGTGTTGGAGGACTTTGGACTGCGAGTTGGAAGTTCCAGAAGCGTGGAAACAGAGGGCACAAACTATAGGACAATATTCTTCGGCCACACATATTTAGAACTGACCTACCGAAGGAGTATAGTAGCTCAGCTGTGACACCCGCTCGGTGCATAGCTGTCATGCAACGCGAAGGAAGCATGAGCTTTGTGATACCGCTGTGTTGTTCAGGCCTACAGAGGAGCAGTCGCGCTGCTGAGGTTGGGTCGGAACTATGGACCCCTCGGTCAGCAAGTTCGCGCCTTAATCGACGAGCTATCTTGAGCTCCATGCAACACCATCTGAATAGCGCCGTCCAGAGATCGTTTGGTTCGGCAGCCCGATGGTGTTTCAAGGAAAAATAGGGTAGCAGCACCCCACAATGTGAAGGATCCAAACCTAAAGACCACGGCTTGAGCTAAGAACGAAGCCATAGGTAAAGAAACACGATTAGCTAAGGTGTTGCTGAAACAGCTCAGTGGGCTCTCGAGAAGTTAGCCTCTATTACACAGCAAAAGCAATAATAATTGCTCAGCTATAGCACTCACCCAAAGCTTGGCTGCCATACCACACGAAGGAAAAACGAGGGCTGAGATGCTGGCAAGTTGCCCAAGCCTAGACAGGAGCAGTCGGGATGGAAAGGTTGAGTTCGAACCACATACTTCCCAGTCGGTAACAAATGAGCTATCCCGAGTTCTACACGATGGTCGATGTGACATAAGGGCGCTTTTGCCCATGCAGTACATTGTGTCGGCTGAGATGCTTCTGTGGCACCCACAACCCAGTAAGGATAGTGATTATGGAATTCAAAACTTTTCACTCAAAACCCTTAAATCAAGACACTGGCACCAGAGTTGTCCACCTCCTAAAAGTTGGCACTCCTGTCCTAACCTTCAAAGTGAAAGGGGAAGGAAGTTGTATCTACCGACGGACCTATCAGGGAACTTCGAGGATGCTGCACGGGCACCGTCTGGTATATTTCAACGGATTGTTCAAGTGCACAAACCATCGTACCGGTCTTTTGGCAGCGAGGCGACCGATCAAAAAGTTGAAAGTGGACGGGTTAGAGGAGGAAAAGTAGCTGGCATACAGAATAGACGTGGAACTGCACAGAAACAGCAAGACAGAATAATTCAAGAAATAAGAGGAAGTCAAGTCACCCAGGATGCGGATTCGGAGCTTCCGATTATTCAGTGGCAAAACGCTTTTGGAAGAAGTTAAAGCATCCGGTGGATAGTCCTGGAGGCAATATCAACAATGCTGCACACTATCTCAATAAAATACAACCACACGGAATCATGATAACATGCCAATTGAGTGCCAGCTTGAGAAGACAAGTTTCAGAACTGATGGACGAGGTTAGAGAAAACAAAAGCGTGTGCAGGATGAACTGCAACGAAAGAGACAAACACTAAATTGAACAAACCCGAAGAAAACGACACATGAATAAACGAACGAAGACATGATCCACTGTTCCCTGAAGGTCCCCTATTCTGTTGGGAAAACGTGAATACCGTGGCACGGGACGAGGGAGTTCCCGAAAGCATGGTACTTTACAACCGATTCAATGAATTAACACACGGAACTTCACCCAATCTATACAGCCCTGGTAGCCGAGGAACGGAGAGTGAAAGGATCAGCTGGCAGGATCGATGGCGGAATCAACCAAGCAAAGCCTTACCAGATAAGGAACAGATAGGTCAAACTCAAAGGCCGTCCGTGTGTAGACAAGAGCACGACGCGATGGACTAATCAACTAAAGGGACACTATTCGACGCCTACACACGGACGCGACTGCTACACTATGCTTGATGATGATCCAACGTGTGTATAAAGACTGCGAAGCTCAAAAACCTGAGTTAACAATTTTCTCCTCTATATAAGACCGAGTACAGTTTGACGTTATCCGCTCACCCTTACAATGAACGAAACATTAATCCCCGGCGTATGCAAATGAATTCGATATGTAAGGCTGTTTCAATACACATGACGAGACGTATCCGGTGAACTAGCCAGCCACGTTGAACCCACAGATGAATTGGAAATAGGACGAACACCGAAAAAGTCAACAGGTATACATAATTAATCATTCAAAATGCAAAATACAAAGAGAAACAAATGCACCTTCCATAAACAATGGTAGGTAGAAAAATCGTAGAATAAGCGCTATTGATTAGCAGATAATGGAACAAGAAAACAAAATAACATTTTCGCATCCACAGAATAATGAGCAATAGAGTGATGATAATAGCTGGTAACATTAGACTACATGTGCATATAAAAGTCACACAATGAGACGGTATACAAAACATTCGCAGCACGAAATTTCGAAACAACTGGGGTCCGGGACGAACAGCTGTGCCAGAAAGCATGCTTTTGTGAGTAAATGAACTAGGAAACAAGGATTATTCATATTAATGAGTCTACGAAAGCTACGTGTTTGGAGATCGAGAGACGCCGATTATGCCACAGCAATCGGTTCATTAGCAGTCGGCGCATCGGCCACAGCTTTCGGCTTTTCAGCCAGTTTCGCAGCTGGAACTTTTTCCTCATTGTCTCCGTTCATTGGTGGACAGCCGTTCGACACTTTCTGTTCCGACATTTTAGCCGACAACTCAGAGATTATATCACGGAAGCGACCACAATGTTGCTCCGGGATGGTCACAGAGGACCGAACATTGGCTCTGACCTCAGAGATACGTAAGTACACGCCATAACGATTCGAACCAACGTCGAAGTAGAATGTTTTGTTGCCAACGAACAATACTTTAGACTCCGGCAGATCCGAAAACGCATCTACGAAACAGATATAAGGGGTGTTAGAGCTGAAAACTGGTTACGAGCAAGTCAATTGATAGTTACTAACCGTTTTGGGTAGCATCTTATAACACACAATTGGCTAGCGTATTGGTGGGTGAAATCGTGAAGTTATGCAACCTAAAGGAATATGAGAGACAATGAAGGAGTAGGCTGAACCGACGAAGCCGATAAAAACAGTTCCAACCAACTACACGCAAAGCAACTCACCGTTTTCCACGTCGCCGGCGTACTCGTGAGTTAAATCTGCAAGTGCGTTGCGCAGCTCAATCATGCCCTGTGCAGGGATGGCAATTTGATCGCGCACACCCATGGTAAGCATAGCAAGCCGAAGGAAACGACCACGCTCGTTTTCTTTAAGATCTAGGTAGTATCTTCGACTATCACGCACAATTGTATCAGAAGCCAGTCGACCGTCCTGGGCAAGACACTGAGGATTGTGGGATGGAAGCTGACTGTAAATGTCACTTAGTTTGCTGACTTTCTCTTGCATTTCCAAAGCTACAGCGATGGACATCAAAATGCGGGACTTCTGCCCTCCACTGCCTGCCTCTGTGATTTTCACAAAACGTCCTCTCCGGTTTTGCTTCACATCTAGATAAAACCGCTTGTTTTGAATCCGGAGCGTCCTAGTGGCCAGTTCCTGTTCAGCCTGGTGACCATCTAAGAAATAGGTGAGTCAGTTTCATCCGATTACCTCTCTGAGTTCGCGCGCTGACGTTTTCCGTCATATTCCTGGCTTGAACCTTCTTGAAATTACCGAACTAGGACCAGCACCGCACCACCCTGTAAGAAAGACAATACCACTAAGTCTGAGGGGAATCCAGGATTCGGTAAAGTCAAACCTGATTTTTGAGCGGAATACGTGAAAGTTATGCACTTTTAACAGAACCAACTGAGTGTTTTCACCCTAAGCGAGCCAGCTTGCTTAGTGCACAATTTATCATGCTTACTTTTCGACATTTGAGTTCAAAGCGCACAATGCGAGTGCGAAACTTTATCAGGAGTCGTGGAACACGAGGGACGAATAAATGACAATGGAACGAACGTAGAGCTTTGCAGGCCGGCAAGGCAGCTGAGTGACCACATTTCATTCCGATCCTATATCGTGTTCGTGAAAAATATACCACTCCTATCATATGGCGTAACTTGTGACCAGACCACTAGATTACCCTACTGAATAAAGTGTTTGGTGGCATTTCTGTCATGAACCGCGAATTCACAGGTCAGACAAGCTCACAGTGGCAGATACTGTCACAATACCTCAGCGGGCATGTTTGAAGGCGGGATTATAACCAAGGATTAAGCCCTACAGGCATTAGAGGCTAGTAGTGAGTCTTTCATAATCGTATCGATGACGTAGACATAGGTATCATGGTTGCACGTGGGCTGGGATACTGTCAGGGCACCCACACCTAGAAAGGAGGATGATTAGGGTCCCCAAGTAAAGTCTTTGGCTCAAAAGCCTAACCGCAAGGCAGGGTGTTTGGCGGGAAACGCAAATGCACTACCCTTTCTACGGTACAAGTCGCCACATGTTCCAATCCCCAACTTGGAGGGCCAGTAGACAGTGTCAGACCTCTAACCATTGACCAACCTGACATGAGACTGAGTGTCGCGCGGACCGTCACAACAACACAAACAATCGTTCACCTGTAGGACCCTTTTGGGGCCTAACTGCCATGCCACCCGAACGTTGCACGTGGGCTGGGATACTGCCAGGTTGCCCAAGCTTAGACAGAGGAGTCGAGAGGCCATCTCGCCCCTCGCGAACCGTCACATCGTGGTATGGTCCAGTCTTTTTGTGACGGCAGCGAAGCATCGGTGTTGAACACTGATTTCATGTTGTCCATAATGATGATGATAAACAACGAATTTGAGGGATGGTGAAAAAGGACAACCCTGCCTGACAGCAATTGGCGTGGAGAACTCCGGCGAGAGCTTCCAGTAGACCTTCACACGGCCGCGGGATCTGGAGAATAGAGATTCAAGGAGAGTTAAAGCCATACAACAAAACAGCCCGCACTGTAGCTTGATACACATTCCTTCAGGTTCAAGGATATACCGTCTTGACGCCATAGGTGTTTAAAATTAGAAAACGCGACCCGAGCCTTGCAGTTTCGTGTGTTGGCATCATTTGTCGTACTACAATCAGGACCAATACAACGTCCAAGATACGCAAAACGCTCCACAACTTCCAGTGCCTCTCCCTGGATTGTAAATAGCGCGTTCAGTGATTGTATGTCCACGAGCATGACCTTACACTTTGTGGGTGCAAGGTGCACACCGAAGGACGGGATGAATTTGGTCAGTTCATCCAAAAACACCTGCGTCTTTCTCTCCTTTGCGGAGACGAGAATGATGTCGTCTGCATAATCCAGATCGACAAGGTTTTCATCACAGGCTATTCGAAGACCTTCCAGCGTTCGTCTTATTAAAGGAATGGAGAGAGTGAGCACATCTGACGGACACTGCATCATGTACGGAAGCTTTTGGAGAGCCCTTCATATGCTCTCACGAACTTCCGGGACATTCCTTGGTGCGCAAGCGTATCAAGGAGGATAGACCGGTTAACCGAGTTGATTACGTCGTGGAGATCCAGGAGTACTTGAATTGTGGGTCGGCATCATGTACGCTTTTGGAGAGCCCTTCATATGCTCTCACGAACTTCCGGGACATTCCTTGGTGCGCAAGCGTATCAAGGAGGATAGACCGACCGACCGAGTTGATTACGTCGTGGAGATCCAGGAGTACTTGAATTGTGGGTCGCTTATACGTATGGCGTTGTTCTCCCGACCTAAAGCTGACACCTTGACGTGGTGGTCGGGCTTGAGTGCTGCAACGATCCCGCGGGCTACACTGGCTGGAACTTCGTTCCACAAGGTGCAACCATGCGAGGAAGGCCAAAGGGGAGCAGCCAGACCAAGAGCAGCGAGACCCCGTACTACGAGTAATCGTGCTACGAGGCGGTCTGGGGGTAACGTCGTACTATCCTTTGCGACAGGAGTGTGAAGGCAGTAAGGTGTTTCCCCCAGGCGACCAGCATGTCTATATTTATGGAAGCAGCGATGCTGTCTTCCCCCGAGGAAGGACGGGTTAGAAAAGGTCGGCCCCAAAAACCAATACGGTCGAAATACTCTTAAAACCAAAGAGCCTGGTGCTGCTCAAAAGGCACCTGCAACAGGAATGAGACAGTAATGCCTTATTCCCTGCGCCCTCGGGTTAGGCCAACCCCCTGCAGTCGAGCAGGTCAGACTGTTGGGTCGTCGGCTCCGGGTAGGGTCCCCAAAAAACCCTACATTTCCCACTGCCTCGTGGGTCAGGTTTTTGAGTCAGAGGCTAGGGTCAGGGTCTCCGAACAAAACCCTACGTCATCCCACTGCCTTGTGGGTCAGACTTTTGAGTCAAAGGCTCAAAGTAGGGTTCCTCAACCAAACCCCCTTCCTCGGTCTGGGCAACCAGGAAGTATTTTCCCGAGCAGTTAAGCGTCCACCGATGTCCCTCCCCTTCCCACTGCACAAGCAAACGTCGCTGGGCCATTTGACTGTCAGTTATCTGACCGAACGTCCTTATGTTCCTCGCTGCCTACAAAAAATAAACAAA